AACAGTTTTATCTGCTTGAAAAGATTGCCTGTAGGGTCATACTTTTAACCACTACCAATGCAGCATATAAACTAAAGTATACTCATGCATATAATCTGTCTCAACAATGTCTAAAGGAGCATAAATATTTAATACTAACTTTGTGTCCCACTACGAAGTAATTTTATGTTTTAAACAAAAATCTTACACATAACAAGTAAAAAGTAAAATTGAATCTAAAGTTCAAAACAAAGCAATGTGAAAATACTTAAACAGCATTACAAAATCCTTGTAGTTTATACCATAGTGCCATTTTAAAAGGTATGTTTTTATATAAATACCCAAATTTAAGAAGCATTATTTCCATTACTAATGAAGTGGAAGGGTAAGTCCAAGAAACGTTCAACTGCTGTTCTTTCTTGGCCTTTACTGGATCCCTAAAGCATTTAAAGAAGATGTTCCAAAAACTTTGAAAAGCTAAGTATTTCCAGTGACCTCCCATTTTTCTTTTATGATTCATACATTATTCATTATGAAATAGGAACTGTTTTCCCTCTATTAAGGCAGCTATTATATTTTTACTTAGCCTGAGAAATAGGGTATCATCTCATATCTAGGCAAAACTTTCCAAAGAAAGCATAATTTTACTCTCTGATAAAGACCTAATAGAGTAATATTCAAAGTTTGCTTTGTAGTCACACAGTTAAAGTTTCAGTAAAATAGTAAAAAAAATCTTCCTTTTTCTAAATACTGACATTCCAAGTCTACCATAAAACATTTTAAGGAGCCAAGCAGACCAAAATCAGAATGCTCATAAAAAACAAAAAACAAAAAAAACTTGAATGTCCGTCCATCCCATCTCTCAAAAAATAACTTATAAAGTTCCCCATTGTAAAGCCTTTCAAATATGACAGATACTGCAAAATATTTTCTTTTTACCACCACAGCAGTGAGAATCTCATTCATAAATCTGTTCAAATGTAAGACATGAAAACAGTGAATTTTGTGGTGTTACTGAACACCACCTTCCCCCCCGCCCCCCAACCTATATACATCACAGTCATGCAAACTGACTATACCTCCACAAGAAGGCTTCGGAGCAACATTTTCTAAAGACCCGGGATTAACTGATCATTTCACAATGTGAATTCACCTACACTCTAACAGTGATGACTCATGATGGAACAACGCTGCCAGATTAAAGTTCCTAAAATAACCTTCCTCTTGCCCAAAACCCACTCAAAAGTCTTAGTCCCCACACTGCATCAGGATTACATCCAGAATTATCAGTGCTTTAGACACATGCGTCTGAACTGTGTATATAAAAATTCCCAATATTGTTTCCAACATAAATCATACATTAGAATCAAGTTGGTCTCCATATACCATTCCCAGAACAAATAGTTATTCATATTTTTAAGCATTTGCTTCTGTTTTTCCCTAAGTAGAATGAACTCCTGTTTTTCAATTTTTCCTCCATTTGTCAAGGTTGACCTGAAGATGAGACTTTTTCATTAAAACATCTGTGATGTCTTTATTAACTCACCTGCTTATTTTATTGGTCTATTATCTATATTGGTCATCATTAACTATATACTGCTTTCTCATTATTTTGTGTGCATGCCTCATTTCTCTGTGACTGAAAGCTCACTGAACACATCCAATATTCCCTGTATACTTTCAGTGTGCCTAGCATAATAGTAGTGAGCACATCTGAATTGAATATGCAATGCAAAGTACAAAATAAAATTCATTTAAACTGAGGGCTCTGTTTTATTTGGAAAAATAGAATCTTTATCACAATCTTGAAAAAAACAATGGAAATAAATTATAACTTTATCTGGAAAAATAAACTTGATAAAAAGGAGAGATAAGTGGTGGGACTGACCACAGGAAAAGCGGTCAGAGAAGACGTCTCTCACATTTCCAGATGCATCCCTATATTCTTTATCTAACTGAACTTACAGAGAAAAAAAAAAACCATAAAATAACTCAAATTTTAGAGAATTCAAAAGCCTGTGGTTTACATAAAATAATAATTAGGAAAGAGCACTCATAAAAGGTCTGTATTACAGAATTATCTTTCAAAGACAATTTCAGACTTCCAGATAAGAAGATATGAACAGGCGTAACTGAAAACCTTATATATACCCTTAAATCATAAATAAAAGAATGAGAGAAAGTAAAATTTTGCTGATCCCATTATCTTAAAGAAATAGTATTCATTATTGACACTGATAATTAAAGAAATTAAGGTTTAAAATTAAAACTGTTTTACCCTTACAAACATTTCTGAAAACAACGAAGCCATGCGCCAGTAGAGAGACACCCTATGTCCGTGGGCTGTAAGACTTAACAGTTACTAGGTCAGCTCCACCCAAAGCAATACACAGACTCAACAGAGTCCCTATCCAAGGCCCAATTACACTTTTTGAAGATATAGAAAAAGCCATTCTAAAATTCATATGGAATCTCAAGGGACTTCAAATAGGCAAAATAAATTAGAAAAGAAGACTAAAATTGGAGAACTCACACTTCTCATTTCAAAAGTGAATTACAAAGCTACAGTAATCAAAAGTGTGGTACTGGCATGGATAGGAACATACGTAACAATGGAAGAGAACAGGGAACCTAGAAACAAACCTTTGCATAGACGGTCAAATGATTTTCAGCAAAGGTGCCAAGACCTAGGACAATCGATACCCACGTGCAAAAGAATGCAGATGGACCCTTTGTTTACAATGTATACAAAAGTTAAGGTGGATCAGACACCTAAACTTAACTATAAAACTCTTAGTGGAAAAAAAGAGGAAAATCTTTATGACACTGAATTTGACAATGATTTCTTGGATATGACATCAAAAAGCACAGACAACAACAAAAAAAACCAGATAAACTGGATGTTGTCAAAGTTAAAAACTTTTGGGCATCAAAGGACACTATCAAACAAATGAAAAGACAAGCCAAAGAATGGGGGAAAATATTTGCCAATTATATATTTGATAAAAGATTAATATCTAGAATATATTTTTAAAAACTCCTATAACTCAACAACAAGAAAAACCCGATTCAAAAATGGGCAAAGGATTTAAATAGACATCTCTGCAAAGAAGATAATATGAATGGCCAAAATGCACAAGAAAAGTTGCTCAACATCACTAATCATTTGGTAAAAGCAAATCAAAACCACAATGAAAATACTACTTCACACCCATTAGGTTGGCTATGATCCAAAAAAACAAAACAAAGAAAAGATCCCAAACATTGGCAAGTATGTGGAGAAACTGGGAGCTTTGTGCATTGCTGTTGCGAATGTAAAACGGTGCAGCCACTGTGGAAGAGAATATGGGGTGCTTCACAAAACTGGACAGAATTACCATATGATCCAATGATTCCATTTACAGGTATATATGTACTGGAACTGAAAGCACGAACTTGAACAGGTATTTGTACACCAATGTTCATAGAAGCATTGTTCACAACAGTCAAAAGATAGAAACAAAGCAAGTATCCATCAAAAGATGAATGGATAAACAAAATGAGGGATATCTATTCTTTTCTTTTCTTTTTTTTTTTAGATTTTATTTATTTATTTGACACACAGAGATACAGCGAGAGAGGGAACACAAGCAGGGGGAGTGGGAGAGGGAGAAGCAGTCTCCCGGCTGAGCAGGGAGCCCGATGCGGGGCTCGATCCCAGGACTCTGGGATCATGACCTGAGCGGAAGGCAGACGCTTAATGACTGAGCCACCCAGGCGCCTCTCAAGTCAGTGTTTTACTTGGTAAACATGTCTGAGACCATGCATCCCTGGCTGCTAAGCACCATGGCGGACAGGGCTAGAAAGGTAACAGCTTTATTTTGAGCAGAGGGCAAAGACAAG